CACCGCATGTCAGCCAACCACCTGAGCTGCCTGGTAAAAAAACAGTTAATTTTCACCTGCTCCTCCTGTAACCAGAACAAAATGGGAAAGCAATTGTTCTGAAAAAGGCAGGCAGTGAATACAGCAGAGCTGGAAGTGCTAACTCCTCTGTCAAGTTAATTGTCAGCCTCTCACAGGTTGGTGAAGCTCAGTTTTGAAAGCTTTTATAGAAATCCAATTATGTGTTGGCTGAGGAATTTTTATTGATAAATAACTTACCAGAGCAACACAAGCAGGGGAGAAGGGAGGGTGGTGAAGGGGTGTTATTCCTACAGAAATGGGGGAAAAGTAGTCTTAAAGTTCTGATGGATTTTTAGTCTCTTGAAACTACTCCCACTTGAGTTTTGCTAGTAAACCCTGCCCTGGCAAGTAGCCATCGGCAATAAAAGCTAACCTGAGAACAAGAAGGATATGTGCTGATGCAAGTTTTATACAGAGCTTTGAGAAAGAACCTGCTTCTTTGTGCAACAGGTCTACCTAACAGGTCCCCGGACACAAGGTTTCTTGATGGAGTGCAGTGTTAGGATAGCAGTCACAGCCTGGTACCTAACAGCAAGGAGCCACATGCTCAGTGCTTCATTTTGCACACAGTTAAAAGCCAGCCCAGCTTCCAAACAGTACAGCTGAAATGTGAGCCTCATTTTAATCCTGTATTTGCAGCTTAGCTTCATTAAAGATGCTGATGTCAGTGGTAATTGTGGATGCTTCAGAAATGCGGGATCATAAGCTCAGGCCTGAGCCAGTGGTGGAGATCCCTATGTGAGGAAGGAAAGAAGTTACACTGAAACAACAGTTTCAGTGTAGGAAACACTCAAGTTGCCTGAGAGGAAAAGATAGATATGAAATGAAATCAGCAACCAGAAGGGAGAAGTGTACCCCCGTGATTTTGTAGCAAATAAAAACTCTCAGAAGATGCGTTACAATTATTTTCCTTTTTGAAAGTTGACTATTTGGAATTGAAACCCTTTTCCAAAATGGGTCATTTAAGACCTTTCATGTCTAGAAAAAGAAATGCATTGGACTGTCTGTCTTTCTCAATAAATTTTTAGAATCTTCCTCCCCCCCCTCCCCCATCAAATCTTTTTATTTTGGCTTTTAATCCATTTCAGAATGAAGGAGAAAAAGAAATATGAGTTAAGTGCAAACTACAAAGTCTCATTTCCACCCACCTGCCCACTTACAGCACAAAAGAAGTTGTGGACCAGCATGAAGCAGTGGCCAACCTGAGCTCATTTCAGAGGCAATATATCAGATAGAAACCACTCATGCGGGTTTCCCTGAGAACTTTCACTTCCATTCTATGAAAACTCTTGGCAGAAGAAAAGATAACGTGTCCTTTCACACAGGGGGATAGAATTCCCTGAGACCGTTGAGCACGGAAGACCTAGCAACTTGGGTGATCACCAGGAATCCATCCAGACTTGATGAGCCTACAAATGAGTCCTGGAAACCTTTCAAACAAATCTAGACTTTCTAGCCACTTCCCTTTCTGATCTGACTAGTAGAAGCTGAAGGATGACCCCTTTTGTAGTATTTTTGCATTTCTTCTTTCATATCTATCATACAGAAAGAACCTAAGTAGTGCATGAAAATAAAAAGCAAAAAAACATAACAGGCTTCTCAAGTTCAATGTCTGGATTTAGTCTAAGATACAGGTCATGTCCTGGACTATTTGCACCCAGGATTTAGCCTTGAATACATTTGGCTTTGGGGCAAAGGCCCAGGCCAGTTCTGAGCACTACATTTGCATTTAGTCTAATGACATTCTAGTCCTCATTATCCTTGTTACTTCTGAGTCTGATGTTGTGTCATCCACGAGCTGACATAAAACAGGGAAACCCTTTTAAATAGACAATAACTGATAACTTTGAGAAAAGACGACTTAGATTTCACATGCTGATAGAAAACTGAGTGCCATCATATGTGGAACCCCTTCCAAGACCCTTATTTTTTTCTTCCTCTGGTTTTTAAACCCCTTCCAATGAGCATAAATCCAATCAGAGGGAGGGAACTGACGAGGGGGCATCCCACCATTGTGCACAATGGGGAGCTGCCAAGATCAGCAAGTTCTACAGAAGAGTCCTCTCTCCTGTGTTGCAAATAGCAAGGGTCCCTGAGGACCTACCACAGCTAGCACTTACGTTCAGATAAAGCATGAAAATTCTATTTAAAGTACTACTTGCTTTGAAGCTTCTTCTTCACAGTATTCTGCCTTCCCTCACTACTGTCAGTTCTTTGCCATCCCTTTCTTTAAAAGGCTATTACCAGAAGAGAAAAAAAAAAAAAATCACTAAAAAAGGAAGATCTTTAACTACCAAAATGGATATGAGAAACAAGAAAAAAAATGAAGCACTGTACTGGTCCTTAGAAGCAGTAAAACAACTTCTGATAAACTCTTTGCAATACTAGGCAAAGTATCATTAAGAATATCAGCAACCACATATAAAGTTTAAAAATAAAAAAATTGACTCACCCAACTGGTGATGATTGACAATTTAGCTGCAGAACACTCCTTCTCAGAAAACAACTTCCATCTAGGAGAGACTCTCCCTTTGGAGGCTAGCCCTTAAATGAGTCTACAGCTCATCCCTTCTGGTCATGCAGGAGGCACAGGTGAATTGCCTTCACCTGTGCTTCCTGGGCCAGCCTTCACCAGGTGCTCAATCATCAGTTCAGGCCATGACATGACAGTTCCCCCTCACACAGTTTTTGTTGTTGTTGTATTTAAAAGAATTACAGAAGTGCCATCTGACTGGAATAATGTTATATTATGGCTTTAATGTTCTCACATTCAGATATTTACCTTCCTACTGCCTTTATAGTGTGATTACACACTGACATCCTATTTCTACCCAGGAAGCTAAGAGAAGGCAAGGGCTTTGCTGGCAGAAAGGCCCTGGAGGCATTGTGGGATGTGCCAGGAGCAATGATCACTGTCTCAGCAAGGTGCTTGGTGCTTGTCAGCACTGCAGCACAAGACCCAATGAACTCAGCACATGGTGTGCGGCTGCACAAGGAGGATGAGTCCTCACAGCTCAAGGCTTTATCTCTTTGCTCCTTAAGTGCAGATGTGTAGGCTTTTGCTACAATAAGCATCCTCCTTTCCAGAAAGGAACAGCATTTCTGAGCTCCAAGGAAGGCAGAGAGCCTAAAGCAGCTCATACATCATCTCTGGTCCTGGAGGTGAGTTGATAGCATTTGTATGAGGGCATTAGCTCCTTGGGTTTGTAATGATTCCTGACAGCTCAGCAGTGAAATATTTTCCAGAGTGGGAGTACAAATGTGGATTGATGTGGATCTTATTTCCCATACAGCCCCGATCATGTAAATATGTGGATTGAAATGCACATCATGATGAAGAGCAGATTATCCAATAAGAAGCTTGTATGGAGGTTGCCTGTAAGGAAAGCAAGTCTAATAAAAATGATAGACATAACAGACTAGAACTGACTATACATCAGCCCCAGGCAAGGTGACCCTTAGCTCTCCTCCTGTAAAGTATCTAGTAATCTTTCTTGATGAACCATTTCTTCAGAGGAGTGTAAAACACTTCATACCCACATAGTGGTGTTGGGGATGTGCTGGCACACAGCACTTGAGAGCTTGGCCATTTTCACTCTCACAGGTAAAATGACCTTTTGGGAATGGCCATTCCTGGGGACATACTCTGTCCTGGAATGCATGAGCCACATGTTTGATGTGCAAATTAGAGAAGAGACACTAAAAAGACATGAGCCTAAGAAAAAAAATCTTTGGAGGAGACCAAGGATCAATGTGCAGAAAGGACACATTCTTCAAAGGAGGAATGAAAAGAAGAAATACATCCTGCTGACAAGAGATGGGAAATACTCAGAGCAATTTAGCTTCCATTACAGTCGGGTCATTCAGCTTCAATAAATATAGGCGAGGAGATCAGGAAGAGACTGTTCATGGAGAACGTGGATGAAGAGGAGCTGGAAAGAGACCAACTTTTCGGTAAATTAATAAGGAACTAAGGGAAAGAATAAGATAAATGATTTAGAATGAGCTGAATTTCTTTAATGGAACAGTTAAAGAAGAAAATGTTTTCACAGACTGATCAACAGAGAATCTATTGTTTTAGCTCAAATTGTCTTTCTGATAGATATCTTTCTGAAGGGTTCTTTAAAAGGAAAAGTCAAATCATTTTAATATATAAAGGGAAAACTGAAATGCTAAAGAATTTTTGAAGCTTGCTTCATTTTTGATTTCTGAAATTGTTGACTGGAATCAGCCAAACATGTGGCTAATTTCAACCCCCTTGAGCTTCGGTTGTGTTTGTTTAATAAAAAAGACAACTGTCACCCAGCAGCACTGAGGGACAGATGTGGAGCAGCTGTTGTCAGCCCACAGTCACCCCCAGAGCAGGAGAAGTCATGGATGGTGACTAGGATGGCAGAGCAGCACAGAGTTATGGCTCCTACTACTTCAGACAAGGAGAAAGCTAGGAAACACCTGTGGAAGCAAACCCTTGCTCAGCTGGGTGTGTTAATACACTGCATGGATTGGGAAACAAAGAGTTGATGCCTCTAACTACTCCACCCTGTCTTTGGCAGCCTCCCAGACCACAACAAACTGCATTCATGGAGAAGCGTCAGACAGAAAAAGCAGTTTTTCCTCCCTGGGAATTAAAGCATCCATGTTTTCATTCCTATGGTGAGATGTTGCCCCATTCCACTCAGTTCAGTGCCAGTTCCCACCTGGAGTGGATAGCACTTGGGACAGCTCTATGGGAAGGTGGTGACGTGTGTGACCTGCAATGTCTAGATGCCATAGAAGAGGCATCAGCAAGTTCTTCTGTTTTCACTATTGAATATGAATATAGAAAGTAAAGGAACTGGAGAGAAAATCAGGGAGAAGGGCTGTCAGAGCAGTTGGGGTGAGCCTCAACTAAAGAGCACTGGGGAGCTATTTGCTGTCAGCCAACATGATGCTCCTTGCCTGTTCTGCAACCTGCCCCAGTTCTGCTTGTACTGGATTTGGTCTCCACTGGCCTCCCAGTCTGTAGTGTAACATCCTCCATCACAGCCCTAAGAGAAAACAGGCTCTGTGAGGCACTGGATGACTGGAATGGATGAGACATGGCTGCTGATTCCAAACAAGACATTTTGCTTTGCTTTTCCCAAAGGGAAGATGCTGCCAAAATCAATCTACTTCCACAGAAGACATCAGTCTTGACACAGCTCTGATTTCCAATGGGAAAAAGCAGATCCCTAGAATAGCTCTGTCTAGAGTTTACATTCTTCACTATGCTCCCACCAGATAGTCTAATATAGATCTCATGTGTCCCTTCCAAGGACTGAATGTGCTCAAATTTCTCTATGGTGCCATTTCTTAATTAATATTATGGATAGTGCTAGGTAAGGGTTGATTTACATGCCAAGCTCAGTAACAGATTTAATAAAATTCCCTTTGCTTCCTAGCTGGAGCACCTGGGGTGAGATTTTATTGGCTTGTTAGATTGCTGGCTGCCTTTTACAGACACCTCTTACACACATGTAGAACAAATTGTAGGTATGACTATCTTTACATAAAAAGATACACACACATTTATATATGTATGCATAGACATATGACTCTAATACACACATTTTTCTTAGGAATAATGCTTGGCACGCTTATGGCTTCCTGTTTCCTTACAACTTAGTGATCAGCAGGCATTGAAGCATTCCATGACATTGCTTAAATATACATACATAAATGCAAATTTCAGAGCAATAAACTCAGACCTGTTTCTGTAAATGGTAAGGAAATCAGAGTAGACCAGTTTGTTTTCTTAACGTTCATAGTATGTCAGTTGGCAGAGTCAAGATCAAACCAAACAAAATCTATAGACTGACTTGAAAACTGAAGAGACAAATGTAAAGAGTAGTTCGTTTCTTGTGCTGTCTGAGCCTTGCTCTTACTTATTGGCTCTCACTGTGTGCAGTGCCTGTCAATTGCTGCTTCCTCTCTGTATTTGTTAGAGCTACTCTATGGGTTGCAGTCACGCACAGGGGAAGATCAAGAGGGAGCTTGTGATGGCTCTTCATCCCAGGGCAGGTGCTTGCAGGGAGATTCCTGTTGCACCTGGGTACTTTCTAGTATGGTAGCACTTGCTCACAGGTGACATTATAAATAAATATTAGCAGATTCATAGTATCATAGAATCATTAAAGTTGGAAAACATCACTAAGATCATCTAGTCCAACCAACAACCCACCCCCATGATGACATCTAACCATATCCCTCAGTGCCACATCTCCAATAGCTATTATCTGGAAGAAAACGATGAACCCCACCTTGCTACACATTCCTTCCAGGCAGTTAAATGACAACAACAAAGTAAATAGTCATAACGCTTTTCTTTCTTGCTGTCTGGGGAAAAAAAAAAAATAGAAATAGTTGCAAATATTGCCTGGATTTCAATGTGCAGGAAATAGACAGTCCCATGCTTACAGATTGTGCTGAGCGTGTAGTTCCTGACTCTTCAAATTCAGCAGCCTCTTCATAACCAGCCCATCTCTCTTCCACCAGAAGCAGACCACTAGAAATATGTAAAGAAGATTCTGAGAGCTTGATAACGTGTGGTGAATCAGCAGAGAAAGGAGGCCCAATAGCATCAGGGAGCTGACAGTCCATCCATAGTACAACACACCACTGGGATCAGCACAGTAAGAAACTTTAGACTTTACCAAAGATTTTGGTGCTTTATCTCTGCAGAGTTGTAAAGAATCAGCAGAAACCTTGCCAAAGGGCGCTGGCTGCTCCAACCCTGCTCCGGGCTGGCTTCCAGGAGAAGACATCTCTGAGAGCACAGACTTCTAGTGCCTCACAACTGGGAGTGTTGGTGGCTGAAGGGGTCACACCACACTTCATTTCTGTAGGAATCCTCCTAAATTACTTCCACTAGCAATTATTTTAAGTGAATTGCTCATGCAAGCTCAAGCAATATGTTAGAAAAGCAGATGTGTCTTCTCTAGACACGCTTGTGAGCAGAACAAGAAGAGACAATGAGAAAAGGCAATGCAGTGCAGGGGCATTCAGCATCTGGCAGCCATTTTACTCATTTTTGTGGCTGTGTTTCAGCAGCTGCAAGCTGGATGAATAGTAGGATATTCAGGTTGCATATTAGGATACACTACTTCTTAGGAGTGGTAATGCACTGTCACAGGCTGCCTAAGGAGGTGGCGTTCAAGAAATGTGGAGATGAGGCACTGAGAGACATGGTTAGTAGGCATGGCATGGGTTGATGGTTGAACTAGATTATCTTAGTGGTCTTTTCCAACTTTCACAATTCTATGATTCCAAGCCTTCCAGCCCTACCAGCTTGTTTTGCTACCAATGACAATCTCACAGCATATCAGCACGGATTTTGTCTCAGCCCTCCCTCCTTCTTTCTTTTTAGCAAACAGAGCATGGGCTTGTCCCGAGACAAAGTCCTGACACTGTGTCTGGGTGGTGAAGGGCTCTTCATGTCCCCTGGGCTGATCCTTTATGGGAGGATATTTGCCAAAGTCTGAGCAATCAGGACCACAGGATGAAAGCTGAAGATAATCTAATTTAATTCCTCTGAAAGCAAATGTTTAAAGAGCTCAGATTCACAGGTCCCGAGCAACTAGTAAAACAACTAAAAAGTCCAAGGGGAGCATACTTGGCCAAGTTCTGGTATTGGTTATACAGCATAAATCCAAAACAAGCCCACAGACTTTGTCTTCCATGTCGTTAAATTCACGTACCTGAAACTATTTAGGCCTTCCTTTTTTTCCTAGATGAACAAAATGACTTGCAGTTCTTTGGACCTGATTCTCCTTTGCAGAGCCTGGTGTGTATCACAGGTGATAATACATAGTTGTACTAGGAACAAGCTCTATGTGAGAAAGGAATTGAGTATTAGATCTATTTCTTACACAGATACAGTGCTTTGGGAACTATGGTTTTCACAGATTCAGGAGACAGATAAGGTAAAAAAAAAAATGGATTTTTCTCAGTGTAAATACAATTACATTAAAAACTATTCCTTTGACTCTTGTTTTGGTGAAATACTGTGCCAATACACACACGACATGCCAGGGACTAGCATGCCCATGTTGTATAGATCCTCTTCTCCGGTGGTCTGGTTGCAGGGAGGATGGGTGCAGTTCTCAACACAGACTCCTTTCTGAGCCCCACAGAAGGTGGTTCTGTGATTTTTCAACAACTTCTGAGACCCCAAATACTGTGCTAATCAGAGCACAATACACCTTCCTCTACTCACCTGGCTCTCACCAACTTTTTTTTCCTGATGATGTTGAGGCAGTACTCTGCACCCCGCGGAGCTGCTAAAATTAAAATAAGAGGAAGAAGCAAGCTGCAGAGGTTTAATGCAAAACAGGCAGCATGACCAAAAATACCACACTTATAGATTAAATCTTTAGCTTAATTCAGATCTGTTGCAGAACAGCCCCTGAAGGGAAATGCATATAAAAGATTCATCCAGGTTGGCTGCTGAATGTAATTCTTTCCACAGTTTTCAGGTACTGGCACTGCCAAAGCATTACGGCTGGGCACTCTCCTGCCTGCTCCTTCCAACAACTGAGGCTCACTGCTGCTAGAGACAAAACCCAGCAGCACCACGATGACTTGCCCTCAGTGTTTCATAAGACAAGATGGTAAAATAGGCCTACTCCTTAGTTTCTCCTTCCCAAGCTATGGTCTGGAGAGACTGCTAGAGCCAGTTAAAACAAAACAAACAAACACACCTCCTTTTCCTGAGAATTATTGGTGCTTTGCCATTGGATTCCATAATTAACTGACTCAGGGGAAGTTAGAATATTGTATTTTTGCAGGAAACATCTTTCTGCAAAAAGTTACATTTGATTTGAGAGGATGCTCCACTTCAAAAGATAGAAAAAACCTACTTTTCATGTTGCTGTATTGTGTTACATTATTAGATTATATTTGAAGCTGAGAAGTCAAAACAAGCCATTTTACCTTATCACTACGTTTCAATGTTAAGAAAGTGAAACATCTGAGCATTGTTGGATGGGACTGAAAGGGTCATCTTGGAGCATTTTTACTTTCCTATTGGAGGTTAACCGGCACAGCCACGTTCCCACAGAGTGCTGGAAGGAAACCAGTGTAACAACAAAAAAAATTTCATCCGGGTCTGATTGCTAAAGAGCAGAAAAATAGTCCTCCCTCTTGGATCACACAGGATGAGCACTGCTATTTGGAATGAGCCTGGGCAGATCCACAGAAAGTACATGAAGGTGCCTTGGGACAGAGGTGGAGAAGCAGTACAGAAATCAGGAGCGATTCCTCCACATGAAAAGTACACTTCGCACAAGGACCGGACAGCCTTCAAGTTAAAATGAAAGTTAATTTTGTTACTATTTCCTTTTAGGGAAAAAAAAAAATCATAATTGAAAGATGTCAGACTAATTAGACCTTGCTCAGTGCCTATCCAAACTCCCAGATCCTTCTTCATGCTTTATGAACTGGGCACTGTGAATCATAGAATCAAACCAAGGCTGGAAAAGACCAAAAAGATCACCTAGTCTAACTGTAAGAAGAAACTATAAATGGCATAAAGCATCCTTGGCTTTCATATTCTGGTGCCATAGATGGGCCACAAAAGCAGCACAGAACAGAAAACCCAGGATGGCGTGGATTGCTGGAACTGCAATGGCTCTAAGTCACTCCGACACACAGTTATCTGATAATTAGAACAGAAAAAAAAAAAAAAAAAAAAAAAAACAGTTTTGTCATTTACTGACAGAATTCTTCCCAAATTCTCCATTCCACAAGAAAATATTACACTTCTTCAGTCTTAATTCAGAGTAAAAACAAAAACTAGAGTATTAGGAATCTCATTCTTTCTCCTAGCTGAAAGCTTAGTTCTCAGCAGCTCTGCTGAGCCCTCTGTGGGTTTTTAGAAATGGAGCAGAAGCATTGTGCCGTTTGCTTCTGTGTCCTGTTTAGCTTCTTTAAGAGCGTCCAGATTGCTCATTGCAATCAACTACCCTTTATTTACTGAGGCTGAGGGAAACCAAACACTGGAGATACTCACATCATGAGCATCATGTCTTTTTTGCCTTCTCTTCCAAGGTACCTTGATTCCTGATGGCCAGATGGCATTCCCAAATACACAGCTGTAAACCAAGAGCATTTCACCAATGTCAAAGTGCAGAATCAGGCCCTTCTATCTAAGACGCAGTATTGCTGGGGACGTGGCTGTGGTCTTCCATCTGTTTCCAGTTAGCTGCTGGCACTAGGAAAGCCCTGAAGTCACCATGGTCTCTGGGCAGCAGATAGAACTTTTGTTTTTGCAAAGACAAAAGGCAGAGCAGGCCAAACCAACACAACGTATGCAAGCACTAGGGAGCCCGATGAAAAGCAATAAAGAATGTCCAAAGTCAGCAAGAAGTAGCGTGGCAGCAGGAAAGAGAAAACTTACAGCAGTTAAAAGTGAGGAAGCAGGGAGTGGAAGAGGAAGAGAGGAGGAGCCAAGATGGCCTGGTACCCAATGCAGTGATACCCAGGGTGAGCTCTGCTGAGGCTCGTATGGGAGCAGGCCACAAGGAGCAAGCTGCACAACACTGAGCTGCTGACCTCCTGCCTGCAGCCATCCCTCCCTAGGCTTTATCTCTGGTAACAGCGTGACTGGGAAACCTTGCTACTCCTTGACACTTCTCTGCCATCTTTTTACACTACTTTACCCCTCCAATGAGCTGAAATACTTCCTGTTAACCAAGCCATGCAGATGGTGTGAAGTAAATGTGATACTAGATGATCTGTATTTCTTTACTTACTTGACATCCCATCCCATGGCCAGTGTAATGATTCTCCAACACCCAAAAGAAATAGAGACTTGCACTCCTTGCAACATGCATATCTGACAGGAGCCCAGCAGAGCAAATATCCAGCCATGAAACTTATCAGGTAGGGATACTATCGTTCTGATTTGCACAACTCCTGCATGATGGAACCTTAACACAGCTACAAGAAAAACCACAGAGACAGACTCAGATCAGGAGATGGGATACAAGAACAGGAGAGTGTAGACTGAGCATAGATTTTTTTCCACAGGCAATTAGGAGAAAATCTAGAACAGCTAGGCTGAGGACATAACTGAAAGTGAACATGAGGATCTTAAGCCTGAATGTGGACACTGAGCACAATGGTAGCCATCCAGCTGCCTTCATGGCTGAAGTTCCATCATACAGAATGTGATTCCTGTTTGCCTTCATAACATTCAGATTTTTAAAGAAAGAAAATATTTCCTTTTTCCCCTCATGCTTTTCCAAATATTTTTATGCGGAACTATTTTTTCCCTCATGCTCTGCCCTGTGGAAAGACTCTAATTTAGAAAACATGGGCCTAGCCATACAATGGGGCTTGGCATTTGCTCATGTAAATAGTCTTCCCTCTTCACAGGAATTGTAGTGTGTAATCTGAAGTATTTTATGTGCTTCTGTGGTGCTCAGAAACAAACAGCGTGTGCTGGATATTAAACTTCTATTGATTTTACATATAGCTGTGGCACTGTGTGCGGCACTGTGTCAAACAGTTTGGTTATCTGGTGGCTTGGATTTTGTTACACATTCTAATCATCATTAGTGAGTCCTTTCTTCAGCTCCTCCTCTTCTACAGTCAATGCACAGACACATTTCACCGCAGTCAAAAATCTTCTTCCAGGCACTGCAGTAAATCACAGTGCACATTAGACAATGGAAGAGATCACAGATCTTTAGGGTGGGAAAAAAATAAATAAATAAATCAAGTTTTTGAGGTTTCAGTCAGCTACAGCAGCATTTTAAACCTCTGTCCTGTTCTTAAGATGTGTTATTCCACCATTTGACAGCTTGTGGTAAACTCTGCTTTCTGTTCAAGCTGGATGAGGGCCAAAATAGTGTGGTTTGGGTCTACCAAAATCCTCAAGCACCCTCCTGGTTGCTTGAGTCCATCACATCAGGGTTACATTGTCTAGTCATTGGCAGGAGGAAGGAAGAAATAGGAGATCACCACTTTTCCTAGACAGCTTCTGCAAGGAATGGCTGGAGAGAAGAGATGGAAGGAATGTAAACCAAGGACATATTGATGTGCCAAAGGGTGGTGCTGCTGTGGCAGGCAATGAAAGACAGATCAAGCTGTCCAAGCAGTGGAACAAGCCCAAGAGCATAAGCTGAGCATGCAGTAACAATGTTCAGGCTGAAAGGACTCCAGATCCTGATCTGACAGAGTGGACGAAAAATGACAGAAACAGAGATATTCCACCACCTCTCTCAGAGGTGGAAAACGGACCAGTAGCCAGAGAGCACCAGCAAGGAAGACAAGCAGGTGGGCAGAGAGCCCACCAGATGACTTTGAATCACCAAGACTTATCACATGAGCTGCAGCAATTAGAATTGGGAAGCAAGAGGAGATCCTCAAAGATCCAGAGGACAGAATGAAGGACCAATAAGAGACAAAGGAAGAAGCTCAAGGATTTGCTAGAAGATCACCAGTACGAGCACTCCTGACAGAGAAAACCTTTTGAGCAAGATTTGTTCCCAGATCAGAGGTGCATGGATCAGGACCAGGGCTTCAGCTTTACCTCTCTGCCACACCTCTGCTTCTTCAACTGGAGGTCAACCATTGTGACAAAAAGCAAAGACATTTTACCCCAAAGTTGTCTCCTGTGTAACAGCAGGAGCCATCCTCAGCCTCAGCTCAAGCAGAGCTGGGATGGCTGTTGTACTGGTGTTATTAATCATACACAAGCTGAGGAATGCTCCCTTGGAGCTGGGGATTTCTGCAGATAGGTTTCCAAGGCCAGAAGGATCATTAGCTCATCTGGTCTGACCCCATCTATAACAGAGGTAAGAGAATTTCACCCAGTATCCCCTGGGAGCCCATCAAGCTCTATGTGGTGAACACCAGAGCAGTGTTTAGCACTGCTCTGAAGACATAAGAAGAAAGGAAAAAAAAAAAAATTCAGGGCTTTCCCCTTCTCATGGGGAATTTGTTCCAAAGGCTAATCAGTTCCACACTTAGAAATCTGTTTTCAGTTTGAATGTCTCTGGCTTCAGCTTCTAGACCTTGCTTTTTGTTTTCAATTTTTTTTTTTCCCCTCATTTCTTTGCTAGTCTCAAAGCTACTTATTTGTTTTGTCTGAAATACTCCGGATGAATTAAAAGTAAGTAGCTTTATAAAACAGGAAGATGTTTACCAGAAGCTAGGAGTGACCTTCATCATGTAGCATCATAGCAGCTCTTAGGTAACATCCTCAGCACTTGGGTTATTCCAACAGAAGGAAGTGCTGCTGTTCTTTTAACAATTTTCCCACTCCACTCTTCACTTATGACACAA